TATTCTCACTCTTTCTCTCACTCTCTCTCATTCTCACTCTCTCTTACGCTCTCTCTCTCGCTCTGACTCTCAATCTGACTCTCAATCTGACTCTCACTCTGTCTCTCACTCTCACTCTCTCATTCTCACTCTCTCACTCTCCCTCCCTCTCACTTTCACTCACTCTCTCTTGCACTCTCTTCCTCTCACTGTCACTCTCACTCTCATTCTCTCATTTTCTGTCCTCCTCTCACTGTCACTCTCTCTCTCACTCTCACTCTTTCTCTCGCTCTCTCTCACTCTCATTCTCTTTCACTCTCACTCTCGCTCTTACTCTCACTCTCACGCTCTCTCACTCTCACAGTCTCTCATTCTCACTCTCTCTCTCACTCTCACGCTCTCTTGCTGTCACTCCCTTTCACTCACACTCTCTCTTACTCTCACTCACTCTGTCTCACTCTCTCTCGCTCTCCCTCGCTCTTATTCTCACTCTTTCTCTCACTCTCTCTCATTCTCACTCTCTCTTACTCTCTCTCTCACTCTATCTCGCTCTCTCTTGCTCTGATTCTCAATCTGACTCTCACTCTCTCTCTCCCTCATTCTCACTCTCTCTCTCACTCTCTCTCATCCTCACTCTGTCTCTCACTCTCACTCTTTTCACTGTCACTCACTCTCACTCTCACTCTCATTCTCACTCTCCCTCTCACTTTCACTCTCTCTCACTGTCACTCTCACTCTCTCACGCTCTCACTCTCACTCTCACTCTCTCACTTTCTGTCCTCCTCTCACTCTCACTCTCTCTCTCACTCTCTCACTCTCACTCTTTCTCTCGCTCTCGTTCTCTTTCACTCTCACTCTCTCTCTCGCTCTTACTCTCACTCTCACTCTCTCTCACTCTCACTCTCACAGTCTCTCACTCTCATTCTCTCTCATTGTCACTCTCTCTCTCACTCTCACTCTCACAGTCTCTCACTCTCACTCTAATTCTCACTCTCACTCTCTCACTTTCTCTCACTCTCATTCGCTCTCACTCTCACTCACTCTCACTGTCACTCTCACTCTCACTCTCACTGTGACTCTCACTCTCTCTCACTCTGTCTCTTACTCTCACTCTCTCTTACACTCACTCACTCTGTCTCACTCTCTCTCGCTCTCCCTTGTTCTTATTCTCACTCTTTCTCTCACTCTCTCTCATTCTCACTCTCTCTTACTCTCTCTCGCTCTCTCTTGCTCTGACTCTCAATCTGACTCTCACTCTCTCTCTCTCACTCTCTCATTCTCACTCTCTATCTTACTTTCACTCTCTCTCACTGTCACTCACTCACTCTCTCTCACTCTCACTGTGACTCTCACTCTCTCTCACTGTCACCCTCATTCTCACTCTTACTCTCTCTCACTCTCACTCCCTCTCTCACTCTCATTTTCACTTTCACTCTCTCTCGCTCTCACTCTCTCTCACTCTTACTCTCACTCTCAATCTCTGACTCTCACTCTCACTTTCTCTCCTCCTCTCAATCTCACTCTCACTCTCTCACTGTCAGTCTCACTCTCACTCTCTCTCACTGTGACTCTCACCCTCACTCTCTCTCTCACTCTCACTCTCCCTCACTCTCACTCTCTTAATTTCACTCACTCTTTCTCACTCTTACTCTCACTCTCACTCTCTTATAAAGCTCCAACACGACATCCTGACTCTTGTACTCAATTCCCCAACCAATAAAGGCCAGCATTGCCATATGCCCTCTTTACTGCCCTATCTCCGTGTGTGGCCACTTTCATTTAGTGGAATAATTTCAGAAGGTGATCACTCCGTGTTGGTTTACCAGCCCCACACCCCTAGGTCCTGTTCTGTAGGGATTGCTCCCACCACAGCCAACCCATTTTCAATGACCCAACTTCCCGTTAGCACTCTACTCAGCATTTATCTTCCTCCCAGCTTATCATCAATGAACTGCTTCTCTCTCTCCCTCACTCAGCACTCTCTCCATCCATCCCACTCACTCCTTCCACACCCCACCCCACACTCAGGCAGCCTTCAGTGATCTGCCCATGTGGGAAATACATCTGGATCCAATCCTGACACTGTGAAAAGGACAGAGGTCAGAATGGGAATGGGAATGGGAATGGGAATGGGAATGGGAATGGGAATGGGAGGGGAGTGGTTCCTGACTCCTCAGCAGTGACACCCTCCATCCTCATGGACATCTCCACTTTTATCTCAAACAAAAAACTTTCTGTCCAAAGTGAGGACATGTGTTCCTCTGAACGTTTCTATCTCTCTGAGTGAGCATTCCAGTTTCTTGCCTCCTTGTCCAGTATTGTCTTGGTCCCTGTGTTTGGTTTGTGATTTTTTGCTCTCCTTCCGTCTCTCCCTTCCTCCCTGAGTATGCAGTGCACTGGGTGGGAGGCTGTTTCAGGATGGTTTACAGCCTGCTTTGGGAGATGGAACACTGCTCCAAGGTCAAACAGGGCTGGACTGGGAGCCAAACCCAACGGCTCTGGGTGAGGAGTGCGAACAGTTACTAACTGAGCCACCAACTGCAGGCTGCTCTTCAACTCCTCTCAGTCTCTGTTATTGCTGTTGTTCATGGTTTCTCATTCACCATTCTCTTCCTTTCTTATTGGTACAGAAGAAAACTGAGAACTGTTTGAAGAAGAACAATATTGCCAATAAAGTAAGTTTAACTCTTGAATTTTATTTTTATTCACTCGTGAGACATGGGTGTCTCTGGCTGGGTCCAGCATTTATTGCCCCATCCCTAGTTGCCCCTTGAGAAGGTGGGGGTGAGCTGCCTTTTTGAACCGCTGCAGTCCATGTGCTGTGGGTTGACCCACAATGCCCCTTAGGGAGGGAATTCCAGGATTTTGACCCAGTGACAGTGAAGAAACGGGGATATATTTCCAAGTCAGGATGTTGAGAGGTTTGGAGGGGAACTTGCAGGGGGTGGCGTTCCCATGTATCTGCTGCCCTTGTCCTTCTAGATGGAAGCGATCACAAATAATCTTAATGTCTTTTAAACAAAATCAGCTGGGACACAGAGAGTGAGAAACTGTGAGGATTAGAGTGAAGTTGTGGGAAGTGAGTGAGGGGAATTATGACAGTGGGAGTAGGGTTGGTGACAGGGTCTGAGTATAATGGGGTTAGCATGACACTGTTGAGGGGAGGGACGAAGCTGACACTCAATGCGTTAGGGGCGGGGGTGGGTTTAGGGGCTGAGGAACTGACCCTCCCGACCCCCTCCATCCGGCTTCTCTGAATTCTTCTTCTCTCACCCCTTTCCAGTCTCCTCCTGATTTCACTCATCCACTTTCAAATGCTCAAATACACAAAAGGAAAGAAGTTCTTTTTGACAGTTTTGGGAATGATGTTTGACAGTTTTGGGAATGAT